TWKWSTCWMAAWYSGRRRARRWTYMAWTTTTTTTCTAGAGCTATTGTACTCTCAACATGTTGTGCTTTACTTTGGTTTTGTAAGTTCTCTGCGTGAGTCTGTTGTCGTCTAAATCAGCGGTCGCTCRMTTTGAACTGGAAYAACGGCGTATTGAGTCTACCTGGTCATGGCTTTKCAATGAAAACAAAATATATGACTTTTATGATTAACTTCTCAATTATTAAATTACATAATTGTTTTTTTCTGTAACAACATTTTTCCATTTTCTGTACTTTGGGCTACAGGTAGGGCTAGTTGGACTGTACGTAACTGTAATAAATCCATTTCAGATCCTGCTGCTTCCCGCCGATAATCAACCATTCTTGAAATCACGTCTACTTTGTAAAGCTGCATCGCAAGTTTTTCCCCGCAACCGATGGTTCCGCGACGGTACCTTTTTTCTAACACAGTGATTGACACCTGACAACATTGATGAAGATGACTTTGATAAGAGAATCATTGACTGTTCGTCAATGTATTGTTTCCTTGTTTTCTATTCACAATGAAACATTCAACGTTTGGAGTCATTTACTACCAGCCTTTGGCTTCATGACATACGCAGCGTACTTGGTTGATGCTAATGGTATTAGTGATGTCACAATATATCCTCTACTGTGTTTTGCCTTTGGTACGTGTCTCATGCTATTTTCAAGTGCATTTGCTCATCTGTTTTGTTGTATGTCATGGAGAGCCCTACATATCTGCTTCTACATCGATTATGCTGCAATAAGTGTGTTTTCCTTCACTGCTAGTCAAGGATATTACTTCTACAGTCGTCCGCTGTCTGAAGGAACGTTTGTGTTGTATAGGGATCCATATGTCTTTCTTGGTGTCAACATGGCACTTTCTTGTACGAATATGTTCATAAGTTGTATGACGTGGCATCGTTTCACCAATTACCGTCCACTTGTCCGAACGGGTCTCTACGTTGTGAAGTTCCTCGTTGATATCTCACCCTTTATCACTCGCTGCTTCTCTGAGCAATGCAACTCGAATGTAACGAAGATATTCAACCGGCAAATATTATGGTATGCGATTGCTGCGATTGCAAACGCCTTCCAAATACCGGAAAGGTCTTTTCCAGGAATTAGGTTTGATATTTTAGGAAACAGTCATCACTTCCTACACGTATTTACAGCTCTTGGAAATTACGACGCTTTTCGTGTCATGACTATTGATATGACTGAAAGGAGGATCCAGCTTGATCGTACTGAATACAAGCCAACATTTCTTAACACTTTTGGTTTTGTTGTTTTTCTTATGCTCGTCAATTGTAGTATTGTGGTTTGGTTTGTTAGAAAGTGGTTACCAAATGAAGAGGAATTACTCTCAGATTCAACGTTCCTTCAAGGTCATCAATCCAACGGCAATTTTCCGAGCAAAATCGAAGTAACGAAAAGAAAAAAGAAGCAATAGGTTAATATTACCGGAATTGTAATTATTTAAGTGCAATAACCAACAACAATACACTATTAAAAACCTTTACACTTTCTTATTGGATCTAAATGTGATCCATAGCAACATCTCCCCAAAAGGTATGCATAATGAAAAGGAAACGGGAAAAGGGAAAAGGCGATGGATGGGTGCTTATCGTCCTACATCGCATCACGCGGGCGCTGGATTGGAAATGACGCAGCTCTGCGCGCTCCCTAGTCGAAGTGCCATACATAACTAAAATTTCATGAGTTTGATACCTTTATTTTGTATTACATAAGTATGACATATCTCTTAATTAGCAGCAAATTCCGTAGTTCATAAYTCATGAATTAAATCTTGAAATCTTCCTCTTCATTATGTGGCTGCCTGTGAAGACAAAGAAAGATTGTCAGCTATGAATTGGTTCATGTAAACGCGAATATGTGGTTTTGGGTTTGTTGTATTGCTCTCTCTGTACTGGTATTGGTAGCGGTGTTGGTGTTGTTATTGGTGTTGGTGTTGATGTTGGTGTTGTTATTGGTTTTGTTACTGATGTTGATGTTGTTGTTGATGTTGGTATTGGTATTGGTATTGGTGTTGATGTTGGTGTTCGTATTGGTGTATTTATTGGTGTTATTATCGTTGTTGGTGTTGATGTTGTTGTTGATGTTGGTGTTGGTATTGGTGTATTTATTGGTGTTGTAATTAATACGTTAACGAACAGGTAGCCAGTGTAGATCTTTTAGTAAAGGAGTAATGTGATCACGACGCCTTTAGAGAGAGTGACAATTCCGCAGGCAGCAGAATTAAGAACACGTTGTAGCTTATCCAGGTGAACACCAGATATTAGCCATTTTTATGTTATAAAATGAATTGTAATTTCTGTCATATTGAGCCAATCGAAAAACTAACCATATCGCTAAAAAGACTTTATCGACTTTAGTGTAGGTTCCAAGTTACAGATCATTTGGACAAATATTCAATTAATGAGAAGCCGTGCAATTTACAGAGAATGTATGGGTATTTTGACCGCGTCCCCCAAAACAATACATTCTCTGTTAATTTGATGAAACTAGAAATAAATACTGTTCAGCTAGTTTTTATCCAAACGTTTTGAAACTTGGTATATATACTAATTTTTGGGTGTCCTTTCAACTGGTGGGGTTTGTTTCGTGAATAGATCAATATTTCTTTGATTAGTGCCCAGTCCCCTGCGCAACGTCGAAATGGCCAATA